GCCATCCTCAGCCTATATGACTATGAGACCAGAAGAACTAGATGGTGCCTGGTACCACTGTAATCCACTCGGAAAGGGATCAGTGCAGGAGATCCTGGATAGAGTGGGAGAACAATGTGGAACAAAACTCAAAATCATTAAAAAAAAAAAAAAAAACAGGTTTACTGGTCTCATAGAGCCTGGTGAGAGCCCCAAGGCTGTGGCCCTGGGGTGTAGAAAATTACTTAGGGTGGCTTTTCTACCCATAAGTCTTTGTAAACTCCAAGGTAGAATTTGCCATGAGCAACTGAGGAGCTCCTTATTGCTAAAGTTATCCACCTGGGGTATTTCTGTTGAGCAGTGGTACAAAGCAATGTTCTGGGAAGTTCGCTCTCTCTCAGGTGCTTAGAATTCTGATGTTATGATTGGTTAGTTTGGCTACTCTGCCTGGCTCAAAAGGAGGCCTCCTAGAGGCAGAAGTCTCTCTGACTGCTGTCTGAGAAATACATGTTGCTGAGAGAACCACGCTCCTGAGAGACACACGCTGCTGAGAAAGAGACATCGAGAGACACACATTGCTGAGAGAGACACCAAGAGACATGAGACATGAATTGCTGGGAGAGTGGCTGAGAGAGACTGTTGGCTGAGAGAAGGCAGGCTGAGAGAGACTGAGCGTTTTTCCTGAATTTGAATTGTAGCCTGGTGCGTCCCTAATAAACCCCATAATCTGGGAGTTCTGTGTGGCCACTGCAGTGAATTATCAAACCCAGCAGAAAGGTGGTGAGTGCTGTGGGAGGAACGGTTGGTGTCAGGGTTGGTGAAAGGGCTGGAGGGAGGCAGCATGTCTGGCCTCGCAGGAATAGGCCTTGGGCTATTGATGGTGATTCTATCTTCCTCTTGTGTAGTTAGAGGAGGTCAGAAGATGGTGCCTCCTTGCCCCTTTAGCAGGCCCCTAGTTACCCTTCAGGTCTAGAATTGAATTCAGTCCCGTGGCTTCCAGCCAAACCCTAGACAGACATATAGGGTGAACATTTACATCAGGTAGATACACTTCTTGGAGTGGTCAATCGTGGGAGAACAGAAGGGCAGTGTTTGCACAGGGAGATGGGGAGTTTGGGCAGGAGTGCATATGAAAGAAGGACACAGGGAAGAGGTAACTACAGGGAGGAAGTGAGAAGAGAGCTGTTACATTGTGGAGAATTGCAGTCAATGTCATGAAGCAAAATGTGTATGAACTGCTGTATGGAAATTGAATTTGTTCTCTAAACTTTCACCCAAATCACAATAAAAATTTAAAAAGAAAGGAAACTGTATTGCATTAGGAATATCTGTGGCAAAACACCTTTTCAAATCTTTAAAAGCAAAGATATCACTTTGATGACTAAAGTACAGCTGACCCAAGCCGGGATACTTTGAGTCACCACATATGCATGCGAAAGCTGAACAATGAAAAAGCAAGATCTGAGAAGAATTGACACATTCAAATTGTGGTAGTGGTGAAGGTTATTGAATATACTGTGAACTGCCTTAAAGTGAGGATGCTGCGATTTCTTTCTTTCTTTGGACATGTCATCAGAAAGGACCAATTGCTGGAGAAGGACATTGTAGCCGTTCTCTAGTGCTGCTATAACAGAAATAACCACAAGTAGATGGCTTTAACAAACAGGAATTTGTTCTCTTACAGTTTAGGAGGCTAGAAGTCCAAATTCAAAGTGCCAGCTCTAGGGGCAGGGTGAAGGCCCTTCAGTCTTTGGCTTCAGCTCTGCCTCTTGTTCCAGGCCCACTGGAGCTGGAGGCATCTCCTAATTCAAGCAGCTGCTGGCTGCTGAGGGTGATGAACCCAAGGTTGGCAGGTGAAATGGCACAATCCCAAGGTCAGTAGGCAACATGGCAGGTCAATTTTTCAAGTCCAGGAACTAGAGGTGAAGACTCAGCCAAATGCAGGATCCAGATTTGCCAAAAAGCTAGAGACCTTTCTGAAAGCTTTGCCATATATACTAGAAGCAGGCCACACCTCAAAGGCAGCTCTCCTTCAACTGATAGGTGCTCACAGCAGATTCCACCTTACAGGTGATTACAGTCTCATCATGGGGAATAACTACCTCCAACTGCCAGACACTCAAAACCACATCCCAGCCAAGTTGACACACAACCTAGCTACCACAGACATCATGCTTGATAACATAGAGGGTCAGCGAAAAAGAGGGAGACCCTTAGTGAGATAGATTGACACAGTGGCTGTAACAATGGGGTTAAACATATCAGTGATTATGAGGATTGCACAGGACTGGGCAACATTTTGTTCTGTCATACATGAACTGACTCAATGGCCACTGATAACCATCTGATATATGATTTACAGAAATTTTCTCCCATTCTGTGGGTTGTCTTTTCATTTTCTTGATGGTATCTTTTGAAGCACAAATGGTGTCTAATTTATTATTTTATAGCTTGAGCTTTTTGTGTCATATCTAAAAAAATCATTGCCTAATTCAACGTCTTGAAGAATTATACCTACAATTTCTTCTATGAATTTCAGAGTTATATCTCTTACATTTAGGTCTTTGATTTACCTTGAGTTAATTTTTGCATATAGTATTTAATAGTATCTTGTGAAGAACAGAAGTTTTTTAATTTGATAAATGCCAGTTTATCATTTTTTGTTTTATGGATCACGTATTTAATATCATATCTAAGAATTCTTTGCCCAAGGTCACAAATATTTTTGTCCTATGCCTAAGGCATTTGACTGCTAGCCTGGAAGGAAGATGGGGCAATCTACTTCCGTAGTGATACTGCCTCGGAAACCCAAGGAGGGGTCACTATGAGTCGGGTCTGACTCGACAGCACATAACAACAACAACATTCTATTTGAAAAGTTTTATAGTTTTACTTTTTAATTTGTTGTTGTTGTTGTTATTTGCCGTTGAGTCAGCCCCAACTCATAGCGACCCCTCCTTGGGTTTCCGAGGCGGTATCACTGTGGAAGTACATTGCCCAACCTTCATTCCGAGGAGTGGCTGGTGGGTTTGAACCACCAGTCTTCTGGTTAGCAGTCAAGTGCCTTAGTCCCTATGCTACCAGAGCTCCTTTTTAATTTAGTACGATCCATTTGGAGTTAATTTGCATGTATGGCATGAAGTAAGCATTTAAGTTCATATTTGCTTGTATCATGGAAATGTCTTAAAAACTATGCTAAGGAATAAAAAGCAATTATAAAATGATATGATACTATGCATGCAAAATGTAAAAGTATGAAATATCATATATTATTCATAAGTACTTACGTGCACATACGTAAAAAGTTTCAAACCAAAATCTTTGACAGTGGTTGCCTCTGACTGAGTAAGAGGAAGAAATGGAACTGGGAAGAATTGTTTCTCAGAGGCATCAGATATCTTGGCTACATATGTTTTTGTTTGTTTTTTAATTGTGAAAGATATATATATATGCCCTTTGACACATTTTTACATGTACAATTCAGTGATATTAATTACAATAAAAAATTTTATGCACTAATCATCACTAGGAGCTCTGGTAGCATAGTGGCTAAAGCACTTGACTGCTAACCAGAAGGCTGGCGGTTCAAACCCACCGGCCACTCCTCGGAAGGAAGGTTGGGCAATCCTACTTCCGTAGTGATACTGCCTCGGAAACCCAAGGAGGGGTCGCTATGAGTCGGGGCCGACTCGACGGCACATAACAACAACAACAACAACAATCATCACTATCCATTTCCAAATAGGCAGCATTTTTAGATTAAAATAAATTTGACACATGTTAACAATTATCAGTTTGGGGAAGTTTATTCTATTTGGCTTTTTTTTTTTTTTTCCTTTTCTATATTTTTTATGTTTCTCAAGTTTTTTAAAAAAACAAAACAAAAGATTCAAAATGAGAATCACAGCTCTAAAGAACTGTTTAGTTGAGTGCACACCCTGGTTGGAGCACTGGGGATGTGCATAATGATCATACAGTTCATTCAGGGAAGAGTCTTCCTGTGCAGGCCTTTCAGAGCTGGGTCCCCAACATTACTTATCTTCATTTGAACTCATTCATACACTTTGGCTTATGTTTTTCCAACTTTACTCCCACAGAAAACCTCAATATATGTGCCACACTCCATTACTTTGAAGAGCAGCAGAGCCCAGATCTCAGTGAGAAAATGAGCTCTCTTTGACTGGAGTTTTCTTTTTTTATTATTTTATCCCATTGCTCCATACTTCCTCTAAAACTATGTGGGGCTTTCCCAACGAAAGTTGAGTTTTCATTTAATTTGTGTTCCTCCATGGAAGCCCTTACCATGTGTGTGTGACGGTACAGTGGGACAAGCCTGATAAGCCCAGCTCCTGGGAAGCAGCCTGCAGCTGAGCGCTTGACATGCACACTCCAGAGTGTGTTCCATGAGGTGTGGGAGCACCAGTGGTACAGAGTATATGCCATTGCCTTCGGAGTACGAAGTCGTTCTTCAGAGATCTCTCATTGACAAGATGTGCAGTTTGACAAAAAGTTCTTACTCTTTGCATCCTTATTTTTCTCCTACAAAATTGATATTAAAATATATGCACTTTCTGCTCATGCATGATTGTGAGGATCAAATGAGATACTGTACATTAATGTTTGCAAACGTGAATGAAGGATGTACATGTATCATTTCCTAACTGTGTGATCCCCAAGTTCTCGTAGATCAGCAACCCAGCTACTCTGCTCAGTCTGTCTGCCTGAAACTTTCTATGGCTCTTTGCTATCTTCTCCTCTCACTCCAATTTTTAGTCTATTCTTATAGTATTCTCTCTCCTTCTGTTCCTTCTCCTCACTTTCCCTCTCCTCCTCCTGTCTTCCTTTCTTCCCTATCTCCAGTCCCAGAGGCAGCCTGACTCCTTCCTTTCAAATACAACCATGCAGTGCATCACACCATTAAGAAGCTCTGGCCCAAATTAACTGAGAAAAAGGACTTTTCCCCTTTTTCAAAGAGGCAAGATACACTGAGATAACATATTTTCTCTCTTTGATTCTCCCAGGCTCAGGCCACAGGATCACCACACACGTCACCCACTCACGGAAGCAGCCGCCCAATGCCTATGCCCGTGCGTTCCACATCTGCTGGTTCTACCCCTACCCACTGCCCTCAGGACTCCCTGAGTGGGGTTGGGGGAGACGTGCAAGAGGCCTTTGCACAAGGTGAGTTCTGGAACAGAGTATAATAGAGAGCTGAAGGAGTCTGGAAACATGGACAAGATTCCTGGAACGATCTTCCTAATTTCTTTTCTTTTATGCTCTTCACTGTAAATGATTAGGTTTTCATATACAGTGTAAATAAGCCAAGTGCTGGCCCCTTCATAGGTAGGCTAGTCTTTGATGAAAGGTCTGCAGGCTACGCATGTTTGTGAAGAAGGGGCCTCCTAGAATCCTGTGCTCTTTTTCCTGGGTTGTGGGAAGTGCCTTGTCCTTTTGGCTTTGACTCTTCCAGAGGAGCTGGATGGAATCATTCTCAGTGATATGTGCCTGGCCTTGAAGGCCTGTAGAACAAGCAAAAGAAAGAGGAGTACTCCAAAGAGGACCTTGCTGAAGTCACATTAAGCATGGCATTGTCACAGTCATCTAAGGAGCTAGTGACCAGCAATATTAAGTAGTTGGGTAGGAAGAAAAAGTGGTTAAGAACAGAGTCTTCTTGGGGCTAGAGACAAGGAATTGGAAGGTGGTGGTACTGGAGAGTACAGTCCTGCCTAAGGCTGAGAAATATCTTGGCATAGTACTTCTTCTGGAGCCCAACTTTTCTTATTGTTTCGTAGCTAAGAAGCACAGTAATGTCAGGATTCTGCTCTTGAAGTAGAGAAGATAGAGGGAAGGAGACAATGGACGTGGGTACCTCATATCCCTGATGGCTCAGGAGCATGTGGGCAGCCATGGCCCCATCTCTCTTAGATATCCGGCACCTGTGTTCAGGGACCTGACAGAACCGATGCTTTTATTCACTGCCTCCTCTCCATACCTACCCACCCTGGCATCGCCATCTGCTCTGCCTCTCCTCAGGTACAAGGAGAAACCTCCGCAATGACCTGCTGGTGGCCGCTGACTCCATCACCAACACCATGTCATCCCTGGTGAAGGAGCTCCATTCAGGTGAAACCCAGAGCTCCCACCCAGCTTCACACACTCTTCATACCCGTGTTGTCCTCACTTCCTCCCAGTGCTGGCAGAGCTTTATCCCATGGCATAAACCATCTCATTTTGCCACTCAGTCTTTCTGCCTTTCAGGAACACACTGGATGTCTCCACCCAGAGAGCCTCTCTCCCACGCTTGACCATGTAAAGATAATAATAGATTAGGTTTATCTTAAGAATATGAATGGTGTTGCTAACACAATTGAGAGTTTAAAGAAATTCAGATCTTTAAGTCCAGTCATGCCCTACCTCACTCAGTGTGTCTCCATCTGTGCTCCATCCACAGCTGCTCTTGCCTAGGTCTGACCAACCATCTCACTCGGAAGCTTTCCTGCATTTCTGGAACCAAATTGGCAACAGAAGCTTCTGGACGTTCTCCAAGCTGCCTTTCTGCTCTCTCCTATTTTATTTGGTTTTGAAACTCTATTCCTTCCTTTGTCCATGACCAGGCTCTGATTTCACTCGAAGTTCATGACCTAAATCTCCTGCTTCCTGCCCTCCTTCATGTTGAGTATCATCTGTGACTTCTTTTTCAGTCTCTCCTTCACTTAGCTACATCAGTGATTTCCCAGAGACCTTTTTACCTCATGACACACTTTCTCCTCGTATAAGACCCGAGAGAGAGAGAATGTAGAAGGCCATTCGTATTTCATCCTGTCTCCAAGAAACTTGATGACTCCTTCAGTTACGTAGCTGCTTCATAACTTCATTCATTAGGATTTTCACTATGTCAGCTCACCGTGTTATATATTATCAGACTCTCTTCCTAAATGCTGTAGGTCATTCATGCAAATGTCCCTCTTTTGTTTCTTTTCACCTAATATAGTGCTTTTAAATACACTAAGGAAGCTTAACAAGATTATTAAATGAAAATACAAAGTTTTCTGTGGACTATTGAAACACATACACTTACTCAAACACATACATTGAGTTATCAATCCATACTCTTAAGGAAGCAAACCTTGAGTATTTCTTCAGATCTTAGTAGAGATAGTTTAACATCTTCAGTGTTGTCATAGGACCAGACCAAAGTCTTAACCACAACTTCATCCTCAAATCTGCCTATTTCCATTTAGAAGAAAGTAAGTGTGTAGCCTAGGGTGATGTTACCAATGCCATTAGGATAAGGTGCTGATTCTCCGGGAGCTGTGTGTGGCATTCTCCCCTGTTTCTCAATCCCCACCAGAAGCACTGTTCTCTTCCTTATACACACACATAAACTAAAGAAGAGATAACCTTTGGGGATGACTTGACAGGTGATTCTAAGGTCTCTTCCCCAACATATCTCCCCACAGATGCCCAAAATCCCACTTCTAGAGGGTGCTTCTTAGGGAATTCCAAGCCATGACAATTCACCACACTCTGGTGGCATAGTACCTAAGGCTTTTCACTGCTAACCAGAAGGCTGGTGGTTCAAACCCACCAGCCACTCCTCAAAAGGAAGATTGGGCAATCTACTTCTATGGTGATACTGCCTTGGAAACCTAAGGAGGGGTCACTACAAGTCAGATCCGACTTGACAGCAGTGAGTTTGGTTTTGGTTTTTGTGGCTCATGAGCTTACCCCACTAGGATGAGAGGCAATTGGACCTCATTAAACATAAAAGGGAGCTCTGGTAGCATAGTGGCTAAGACACTTGCCTGCTAACCAGACGGCTGGCGGTTCAAACCCACCAGCCACTCCTCGGAAGGAAGGTTGGGCAATCCTACTTCCGTAGTGATACTGCCTCGGAAACCCAAGGAGGGGTCGCTATGAGTCGGGGCCGACTCGACGGCACATAACAACAACAACAACAAACATAAAGTATGTAGAGACACAATAGTTTCACTAAATTAAAAATGTATAGGGACACTCAGCAGTTCCTCATACTAGGAAGGGATGGTTTTAACAAAATTATGTAATGTAATTTAGAAGGTACCTTAGAGATCACATTGTCCAGTCCCCTTACTTTAAAAATGTAGTGATCACGATCAGTGAAGTGATTAGCTAAAGTCGTGCAGCTTGAAGGGGCAAAGCTAGTCCTAGAACTCAGGTCTTAAAAACATTGAGCGAGTTCTCTTACCACCACACTGCCCTTATCTCACACAGGACAAGATGTCAAATCTGCAGTCTCCTCTCACTGATGCTCCATTCCTGAGGGCTGTAGGTAGGCAAGGACTAAATCCACAAGTGGCACAGTGGCCCTATAAAATGTGAAATACACTTCTTCTCCATAAGTCAGTGCCAGTTTCTGAATGAGCCCAAGTGCCTTGTTAAACACCAACACATTTTTATTGTCTCCTTGATAGTGATTTTTGTTAGGATGAGATTCAATATTGTCTTTATATATTTGCACAGTGTTGCTATTACATACATATAGTTTGATCTCCTGGCCTGTTTTGAAATATTTTCACAAATAATAGAATCCTAGAATTGGAAATGAACTTAGAAGTCATTTAACCCAACTTGCTGCCCAATATAAAACTCCTCTGTTTGAATGTTTCCAGTGAGCTCATTCATGACCAGCTCAAATAATTAGAAAGTTCTTCCTTATTGGGGAGCCAAAATCTGCCTTTCTATAACTAACTTATCCTTGTTTCACCCTCTAAAGCTACCAGAATAAGCTCAGCCCCTTTTCTTCATGTTGGCTTTTCAAATATTTGATGGCAGGAAACATCGCTGTTAAGTCTTCTTTAGGTCAGTTATACCTAGTTCCTTCAATCTTCCTAATGTGACATGATTTTCAGATGTTGTCCTCCTGGTTGGCCATAGTGGGATGTGGCCTAGTATTCCAAGGAAAGCCCCAGTTCAAAGCGAGCATCCAAGACTAAGCACACCTCTTTATATCACAAGGGATCTTCTCCCTGCAAAGCACAACAAATCTGTGGCTTCCCCTGAGCAGAACCCTGGGGGACTAGTCAGAGATCACATTAGCTTTTTTCTACACAGCTACATTGCACTGTTGAATCATTTTATGTTTGTTGTCAGCTAAAACCTGACAGAAGCCAGTTTTAATCTAGGTATTCCCCACCCTGCACTGCTGTGGTTGCATCCTTAAAACTGAATGCAGGATGTTAGATGTATCCCCAGTAGATGTGTCCCCTTAGGGGAAATCGGCATAGAGAAGAGGCAGGCACCTTCTCCTTCCCAGTCACCCAGGCAGCCAGTGGCAGAACTGGCAGCAGGGTGGGTACCATCAGACTGCTCTGCCTCTCAGGCACTCAGCACTTATGGGAAGTGTCTATTAAACATGCTGGGGCTTAGGTTACCTATGGTGCAGACTACATAAGTTTAGGCACCCTTGGAGGCCTGCAGTCATGAGCCTTGAGCTAGGGTTTTATCACAAGCCTCATAAATGACTCCCTTCACCCTCCTCCTATACCTGTACTATGCTGAAGGGTCACTGGCCTCCTTGGACTTCTTTTCACAGCAGAGGAAGGTGCAGAGGAAGAAGAGGAGAAGATGCAGAATGGGAAAGACAGAGGTAAAGGCAGCTCAACAGGATCCCTAGTTTGAATGGGCCGTGAATGAAGTCACCCCCCTCTCCCTTTGTGTCTGCTTCCCTTCCCCTCTGCCACCAGAGCCTTCAGACCCCTAGAGCTCCTTCAACTTACTTTCCCTAACCGAAGGTCAAGTTTTACCCTGGAGGTGGTAATGTTACTTGATCAAGAAAAGCTTCCTGATACTATGATAAATGGTTGGGATACAGGAAGTGGATACAAGCAAAGCACAAAACATGATCCCTGGCCTCAGGAAGTTTATCACCTACTTAGGAAAACAGAACTAAGGTCTACAAAATAAATAGGGGGTAAAACTAGTTGACATAAAAACTTCATCGTTAAATTTTGAATGTATGATTATAAATTCAGTAGGGGTTTCTGAAAAGGAAGAGATCATTGTGGATTCGAATAGCCAAATGGCTTTGTTGCTTCCTGGAAGAATAAAAGCAAGAAAGAGGTCAGCAAAGGACAGTAATGGCTTCCTAATTTTATTATATATAAAGCCTATCTAATACTCATTATGTGCTGAGAACTGTGCTAATGATTTTCATATATAATCTCATTTATTCCTTCACAGCCCTGTGAGATATATAATAATAGAAATATGATAATACTTCCATTTACTAGTGAGAAAATAACCTTGGAGAGATTTATATCATGTAGCTATCAAGTGTCAGAGGTTGGATTTGAACTGAGTCTTCCTGACTCCAGACTTCATATCCATGTTTCTATGTTATACTGAACAGATAAGCAAAATCCTTTGGGATTTGAGAGTTAACTGTTATTTCTATCATATATTAACATGTCTGTTGCTGGGTTCCTCTACAATGTAAGCTCCCCAAGAGAGAAGTTTTGGTCTGTTTTGTTCATGTTATATCCACAGTGCCTACTCATAGTACTCATACTCATAAGAAATTAACCAGTCTAAGGAAATCAATGTGATGTGAAAGAATGTCCCTTGTCAGTCGAGAGAAATGGAATGGGCACCCTAAGGAGGGTATGAAAGATGAGAAGCAACCAGCACCCACACACACTCTCTCTCTGTCTCTCTCCTGAATGCCAAGCGCTCAGCACACCCCTCCCATTTGATTTCACAGCCCCATGACAGAAGAATTATAGACAACGCCCAGAGGGGTGAAATAACTTGACTAGATTTAAGGGAGGTATCTACAACTCCAAGCCATTGCTTTAGTTCCAGCAGAACTAGTAGATTAAATAATGTGAAAAATGTCTTAACATTTAAAGAAACAAGGAAGGGTAGGAAGAAGTCCAGTAGATTATACAAGTGTGGAAGTTGTAATTGGAAAGGAGAAGCGCGTTGGGTTGGTGCAGTCTAGAGCACTGGTTGCCCACAGGCGCACAGTGTGGATAAGAGATGGCGATCTCTGGAATCTGAGAGAACACGGAGTTTGTCAGCGAGGACATAGACATTGCCGAGATGGAAACAGAGAAGAGGAAGAACGTGCCCCAGGTGCCAAAATCATTGAGTGAGTCAGACCTAGGCCTGAGAGAAAATGACAGTAGTCATGATGGACTGATGAGAATGGCATGTGGCATGGACTTCAAAATATCAGAAGTGGAGAGCAGCATTGTTTCTCACATCCAGAAATGTTGTGAGAAAACAAAGAGAAGGCTGCCTTCCCTAGGCAGATAGGGGACTGGGAAGAAGGCAGGAGGGTTGTAGGGCAAGAGGTGAAGAAAAGAGGAGATATACAGAGATAAATTTACACTTATGTAAACACATGCCCCAAACACAGGCACACACACATAATCCAACCAAATCCCGGCATTCATGTGGAATGTTCTTGGCTGGAGACATAACAGCTGCTTCTTTGGCCTCTCTTCCCGTATACCCTCCCTTCCCCAATAGCTTTTCCCATGGCCTCCCCTGAGGCAAACATAGGCCTTTGCTCAGCCCCATATGCCTTACCCTGACCATGGACTCTAGCCCTCAGTCCTGGTTCAGGACTTACATAGGCCATATCCCATGTATGAACTGGGTATGGCTTCCCTTCCAGGTTCCTTGTGGCCTCCAGGGCTCTCTCTTTGCACCTATGCTACCGTGTCAACCTCTCTTCTGTCTTCCTTTATCCCTCTTGCTCTTAGTATCTCCTTCTCTCACTATAAGTGCACATACCAAGGTCTGTGTGTGTGTGTGTGTGTGTGTAGTCTTTTTGTGAGAATGCTTGGATTTTTATTTATGTGGCTTTTAGGTGCTATCCCTGAGGGGAAGAAGGTAAGGGTTAAGGTGAGAGGTAGGTAGGGTTTTTGAAGGAAAAAAAAAAAATTTTTTTTGACTTATTATTGTACAGGTCCTAGGATATATTCCTGCTACTAAAATGTAACTGTTATGTGGAAGTAATTAAAAGATCAAACACATTTATGGATAGAACTCCTGATTCTCTGGCATGGTCTAGGCATGAGATTTTACACAGCACTAACTAGAGAGAGAGGGAGCTCTGGTAGCATAGTGCCTAAGGCGCTTGACTGCTAACCAGAAGGCTGGAGGTTCAAACCCACCAGCCACTCCTTGGAAGGAAGGTTGGGCAATCCTTCTTCCATAGTGATACTGTCTCGGAAACCCAAGGAGGGGTCGCTATGAGTCGGGGCTGACTCGATGGCACATAACAACAACAACAACAACAACAACTAGAGAGAGAAGGAGCTCTGGTAATATAGTGGTTAAGGCATTTGGCTGTTAACCAGAAAGTCGGTGGTTCAAACCCACCAGCTTCTCCATGGAATAAAGATGGGGCAGTCTGCTTCCATAAAGATGTACAGCCTTGGGAAACCCCATGAGGGTTGCTATGAGTCAGAATTGACTCAATGGCAGTGAGTTTGGTTTCTAGTAACTACAGAGAGAGAGAAAAAGAAAAAATTGCTTCTTTGGGGTTGAAATCATTTTGATATAAAATAAACACAACTAGGTCATCACCCTCTCCAGCAAACATCATTTATTCAATGCAAAACACAAACCAAACCAAGCCAAACGCACTGCCCTCAAGTCAACTCTGACTCACAGCAACCCTACAGGACAGAGTAGAACTGCCCCACAGGGTTTCCAAGGCTGTGATCTTTACAGAAGCAGACTGCCTCAACCTTCTACCACAGAGTGGCTGGTGGGTTCGAACCATTGACCTTTCAGTTAATAGCTGAGTGCCTAACTACTGTGTAACCAGGGTGTCATAATGCAAAAACAGAATCAAATGGGCACTTTCAAAGGACTCAAGAGCAAGGTAGACTTCCCAGGCATATTCACATCTACCTCAGGCCTCTCCCTCCACTACCCTGGCTTTCCTGTGTGGCTTCCTTCCTGGGGAATGCCTCTGCACTGGGGTCCCCATCTTACTTTGCACCCCTGCACCTTAAGTACGTACAAATAAGACTACATAGATGGAGCATAGCCTGACATGACTTCCCCCCAAATTATCTCAGAGTCCTAAATTAGCTCAACTGCTCTAGAGCCTCATTTTATGCTCCTGTGTCCTTCAGAGCCTCCTACTCTCCCAGAAACTACTATCCACAGTGTTGGGGACTTGTAAACTCAGTTTGCACCTTAAAGAACCCTGGTGCATGTCCAGAAGGTTGACAGCAGTGGCCCTCTCTGTAGGCTTTGAAGGGTCCAGGCAGAGAATCCAGATCAAGTCAAGAGTGTGAATTAGCATCCAAAGCAGATGCAGCTACAGGAAAACAACACTGCCCTTATCGAAGGTTAATTCAGTTTCACCTGGTTTGCTTTCAAAATCAAATGGGCTTTGCCCCCTGAGGTAACCGATCCCTAGATTGAAGGGCCCTTTGTTTCCCTTTCATTATTATTTTTTTCCATCTCCCGGGAAGCATTTGTCCTCACGTGGTTGTTTTGTGTCAGTTGCTGTGACCTACCTGTTACTATATCTGGTTGGGTAGAGTCCATACAGTAGTAACAAAGAGGAGGGACAAGCCCAAAGCCCACAGGTGGGTAAGTCAGGAGAGCAGCCTGAGATGGGATCCAGGGTGGTGACCTTCGTGTGTTGTTTCTGTCCATGCTGCCACAGGTTAGTGGAACAGCCCGCGCAAGAGGAAGCTTGGGTGAGTATGTACTGTGGCTATGCCCTTACCCACAGCCCACTCTCCTTTCTCCTTCAAGGTCTTCTCTTCCCTCCTCTCTTCCTTTACTCACATTTCCCAAGCCAGAGTGATCCTAACAGGTGGAACACACACTAGATTTTCTTTAAAGAGCCGAGCCACAAGTTTTCCCTTTGTTCCCAGCCTCTCCACATACTCGCTTGCCCTGTTGTCCAGGCCATGCATGGCCTGTTTTGTGCTGCGCTGCACGCAGCCTGCTCCTCAGTTTTGGTGTCCTCTGTGTCAGGATGGAACTGGCAGATCAGACACTGCTGGCTAAAACACGGGTCTGTGAAGGACATCAGAAGTGGAGTGAGAACTGCTCACTTCCCTAGGCTGCCTTTGCCTCCTGTACTCCTGTTTTCCCATAGCCACAGTACATTTCTTCTAGGAGATCCAGACATAGCCAGTGTGCCCTGGAATTCCGTCACCCAGAGCTGTGGCTTGCCGCAGTTCCTGACACTCCTCACGCTGATACTGCAAATCCACGCAGTTGTTTTGTGTCAGTTGCTGTTTGTAGACCTGTGCCTGGCCAAGCCACACCTTCTTACATCCCGAGGGGAAAAAAAAGTTAATAAAAATGCGTATTTCCCTGCAGACAAGTGCCCATTGCTCTTAGGAATTGATCTTTCACATTTTTCCATCTTGAGATCTTAACTCTTACCAAATCTCAGCTCCCAGGTACTGCACCTCTGAATATGCTCACTAAAAGGAAAGGACAAAAGGAATTGGACAATCAATCAGTTCAAGAGTTTTTTTCATGTATAAATTCCTTTGGTGCAGCCATGAGATTTTTCTTTATTTGTAGTCTTTTCCAACCTCTCATCACCCCTTACTTCTTTTTTGTAAAGTTCAGGCATCTTCCTCAGTTACAGATCTCGGGGCAGAAAAGCCAGGGCCACAGCCCACATGAGCCAGAGAAGGAGCTCTTCTCTCCCAGAAGAGTCACAGGCCCTTCCCGACACCCCGCCCCCCCTTCTGCAAGCCCCTTGAAGGCTCTGGAGTGGCCTGAGCTCAGCCTGCACTGACTCCGGGACGCAAGCACGCGATGCTGATGGGCTGCACCGAGGCAACATTCTCTTGCTGCCTCAGCTGCCCCAAGAGGTTTTTACTCAAAACTCTGTGCACCTTCAAGCAAGGCCCTTCCCTGCTGCAACCTCACTGCCCCCCTGCAAGCCAGGCCACTGCAGCCAACCAAGGAAAATCAGGAACTGACTCACCTTCGGGAGGCTGCCAGAGCCCCTCGCTCCAGGGGTGGAGAGGAACTGCCATATAAGGAAAGGCTTGTTGGAGCCATCTGGCCCACCCCCTCTTTGCTCAGAGGAGGAAAGAAACTAATGCCCACCCAGGAGTTTGGTGGCAGAGCTTGAATCAGAGGCTCATCTCCCACCTCCTAACCCCATCCTCTTGGCCCATATCAGGAATTACGAGAAACTTGCCAACAGTCGTCACATGAGACACATGAAAACTCAGATGACTCAGTTTCAGGGACCCTCAAGTTCTGCTGGCTTCCAGCATGAGATGAGGCGTGCTTCCCCTTCACCCAGAATCTGCATGCACAGCTACATCCTCTCTCCCCTCTCCAGCCACAATTCTTCCCAGGAAACAACCACAGTCTATGGAAATACTTCCTGATCCTTTGACCCAAGCAATGGCTCCAAAAGATTCCAGGTTTCTAGGTACCCCCATCACCAGAAATTATAATGCCCATTTCCCTCAGAAGGGGCCTGAGTATTGCTAGCACAGTGCACAAAGCTGGAAAGGGGAGCACCCCAACAGCACCAGACCTTAGCATTTGCTCAGAAACCCTCAGCTGTGACTGTGACTAACGGTGAGTCTGTCTCGCACAGGCACAGAGGACATGGAGCAAGCTGGCACAGACATGATGAAGGCAAGGTCTCCCCCAGAGGCGCATTCCTATCCATCTTTCGGCTGCACACCTGGACCAGGCTTGCTGGCTGCCAGATGTCACTCCACCTTACTCCACCGCCAGGGAGAGGGGAGCCGACACAGTGGGAAGCAGGGAGGGGCTGCCTGAGGCCGCAGCTGGTGGGCCTTCCCCTCTCACCTTCCCGCATGTACTAGCATCTTCCACTTCCCTCAGGGCATGGTCTCAACTCTGCAACATGGAATTTACCAGGAGGTTGAAAAGAAAAGAAAAGACACCCCTCTCTTGTGTGTTCCTGGCCTGATAGATTTCTTTCTGGCCTTCTGCCAGCTCGTGAGGTGCCCCCAAGGTTGGGGGCATAAGTTTCCTCCCTACCTTTGACCTTTAAACACCGACAGTTTTCTTCTGTCTGTCGTGCAAAGAAAGCTTCAGGCCTTGCTCAGTTCTGTAGACATTCACACCCTGGCCACAGTGCTAAAAATAGCCTCCTTCCTTTCTCTCACACTGGTTGGGCTTCCGCCCCATTTGATGCTGCTGCTCGGCAGCCTAGAGAGAAGGGGGAGCGGAGAGTTCCGCACGGTGCCCAGGCAGAGTCCTCCCTCCAGCACGGAGCGGATTCTATGCAGCAAAGCCAGTGGACAGAAAGCACTGGTCCGTGGCCGCCAGAGGGAGCACTGACCCCTGGGGCCTCTTCAGAAGCCATCTCTTCCCTTTGGAAGTTCCCATTATCGTCTGGCACACGTGATAATCAATTCCAATTCCCGGTGATTTTCATTTATTTTTTTTTCTCGTCTCTGGGCTCCAGGATGTTATTTTTAGTAGAAGAACTGCTATAAATATTTATAAAGGGCAGTGACTGGATTGGAGAGGGCCCACAGCTGGCTCTCAGGATCCCCCTACCCCAAAAAACTCTGCAGACCCCTGGCTACTGCTAGAGGAGAACCAATGTGCTCCACGCGGGAAGCCTAGTAAAGGAGCAGTCAGAGTAAAACAAAAGGGGCGAGTGTTAACTCTCTCTTTTGCCCTCTGCATTTGTTGCCTCTCCCTCCATTCCTCCCCATTACTGAAAGAGGCCCAGGCTTGTGTTGTGTAAGTTTTCAGCATGCTGCTCTTGCCTCTGTGTCTGATACTAGGTATCAGGGGCGGGTGCAACTTGGGTTGTCCCAGCCGTGAGGACAGGAAGGAAAATGGAGAGGAGGAGCTAGTTTCCCCTCAGTTGTAAAAAAAAAAAAAAGAATACTTAC